TCATGCTGACTGGTGAAATTTTTGACTGACTGGTGAGATACTATCAAATTTTTCAAGCCCTGATGATTACACTTAAGAGATTCCCACACTACCAGTGGTTTAGAGTCCAGCGTTTGGTTAGTGAGCAAGAACTGTGAGATTTGTTTGTTGTAACCGTGATTTAACAAGATCGTTGTTAAAAAGGGAATCATTCAATATCCATAGAGAGGGACAAGCCCCCTCACTATGAAGGAACATGTCCAAAAGGACCGGGGCATGATCAGATAAGGAGATACATTATGACTTTTTTATCCAGCTGTAACAGACATCAATTGACCAGTGGCAGTAACAGCCTGAACAGATTTTTAAGCTATAGGAAATTGTACTATTGTATTAAAGCTTAAGCCCTCAACTACGTACAAATGTTTGCATTGGTACACATTCCCTATGTCAGTGCCCAGCTACCCATGCCCTTTGTTTGACAATGCCGTGCCTGTTATCCTTAAAAATGGGCAGAATTTATTTGAAAAAATTGCTCCCCCATTGACTTTATTAGGGTTCAGAATGCTGGGCACAAAAACTTTAATTTTAACATATTCCTTAATATCTACAAATGATATAAATCCACTTTGTGTGAAACACATGCCTTTGCAGACCCTGATATTAACTTATAAAAGTAGCAATGACATCAATAATGTGCAGCAGATGCACAAGCCTGTGCAGACAGGGCAGAGGGGAGGGAGGGGTTTAGCAGGCCCACCTAATACAGGCTACAGAAAACTACATTAGAGAGAGATCAACAGTGACCAGTCTTTTTTACAGGAACTTGACTACGCTTGAACGGATTTGCAAAGTAGAATGGCAGAAAATCCCCATATTCAGGTGTGCAAAGCTTGTCGCGTCATACCCAGAAAGACTTGAGGCTGTAATTACTGCCAAAGGTGCTTCAACAAAGTACTGAGTAAAGGGTCTGAATACTTAAGTACATGTTATATTTCAATTTTTTTCTTTTTAATAAATTCACAGACATTTCTAAATTCCTATCAGGTTGGTGATGGTAGGAGCCCAGACGCGGGGCACTTGCCAGTACAAATGGTACCTCTACTCAAGTAGACTAGGATAATGCACAATCTCCTGCATAGTGGTAGCTAGTACAGGGGCAGTCCAAGAGCACGGTAGCAAAATCACAATCCGGAATCGTCGTTGAATGTAGCAGGGGTCCGGGCAGGCAGCAAAGTATCCGGGTCACGGAACAGGCCAGGGGTCGTTAACAAGAATCAGAAACAGGTATAACACCAGGCACTTTAAGGCTTAACAATAACCAAGCACAGAATGACTCACCCTTCCTGCTTATATACCTGTTGTCAATGAGATGATGTAATTTCCAGGGGTGGACCACTTCCTTGGAGGGGCGCCCACTGTCCCTTTAAGAGGCGGTCCAGTGCTCGTGCGTGCCTCTTCCTGTACAGTTCTGGACGATGGAACAAGCGGACACCACACACAACAGCCGTTGGGCTTGGCACTGCACAAGGAGACCACCCGACGGCGCGAGACCCTGCGGGAGGTAACAGGTAAGTCCTCACAATTCCTAAATTTCTGTTTCACTTATGTGGTACTCAGTGTACATTAATGAGGAAAAAAAAAGAATTTAAACAACTGTAGTATCAGGCTGCAACATAACAGTATTGAAAAAAGTGAAGCGGGTCTGAATACTTTCTGAATGCACTGTGTGTGTGTGTGTGTGCATATATATATAATACATACATCCATACATACTGTATGTATGTACATCAACATGAAAGCTATAATCTGATTGGTTGCTATGCACTACTCCCAGATTCTGTCTGCTCCACTCTTCGTTAATTCCCCACATTGTATATAAACATTCAACCAGAAGAGATTTTACCCCATTTCTTACAACAATTGATTAACTAACGCAAAATGAATGTAAACGCAGTTTCGCTGGAGGAATAGCTTTGCGTTGGATTTTTTTTTTATAGACCACTTGAAATTGGTTATTCCAGGCAAAACAAATATATAGACATAGTATATTTTATGACAGTTTTAACCTTTTACTGAAAGAGGGGAATAATGATATAATATGGTTTTGAAAAAATGGCTTACAATATCAAATTTGATTTGGTTTTTGTTAAAATACAGAGTATCTGTATATGTGAAGTTCCTTCAGGGACAACTGAGTCTTGATCTTGTGTTATAGATTCTTGCAAAGTCCAAAGGGCTGGACTGGAAAAACTTGGTGAAATTAGGAGATCTTCAAAACAAGCTGGGTGTTAGCCTGGAAGATATGCAAACTCTGGTCGAGGAAGTTGTCCATCCTGAACCATATACAAGAGAAGAAATTTGCCAATATTTAGGAATAAGTTTACAGGAGCTCCGTAGTACCATTTTAAGCCAAAACACGCAGGATGGTAAGTCAGATTTACAGCACCCTCTCTCTTTTTTTTTTTTAACCAGGTTCATGTATATATTTTGGTAGTATGCAATGCAATAATTATACTGTGTTTAGCGATATTCTGTAATGTTTATCATTGCCAAGATACAACTTACTTTATTTTTTTTATTGTGGTTTTGTAGAACAAAATGGGATTTATATAGGAAGCAATTTTATCTTCAGGATTTTTTTTTAGAGAAAACTCAGTGTTCATAAAATCAAGTTTAGACTCCTGTGCATAAAGTCTTTTCCCACAAGAGGGAGAAATGTTATCCTTTCACAGAATAACTTCACAGAGCATTTTCAACACAGCTCTGCTGATTGCTAATGCAAACCAAGACACGTATTAAGGTTTGCCTATGATTTATAACTGTAGTCTTTGTGGGTTTTCTTTGTATCTTTTTTCCTTAATTCTCTGCTATGACTTTACCTTATTTTTCTGCCTTTTTCCCCTTTTTTCACATCCCCTTTCCACTTTTTCGTTCTCTTTTATTTGTACTTTCTCCTACTTCCTCCACTTTACAGTGCCCAAACAATTGGAGTCCATTCAGACTTTTGTGGTGCTTTAGCGCAAGCGCATTAACATGCATCACATTAAGGCAGCCCAGTTATTTGAATGGGCTGCCTAACACTAGAATGCACCATATAAAGGTCCATATAGCATTTCTGGCAGCATACTAATGATTATTTTCATAATTGATTAGTTGGCCCATTTCTTTTTATTTTTGATTATTCAATTAATTGGATAAAAAAAACAAAAAAACAAAAACCATCCTAATGTAAAATGAAATACACAAATGCAGTGTTACAAACCTAAAGTTTACTTCAGAATAAAACTACATGCACAATTTTTGGAAATCGCACTGCAGTGGAATGCATGGCATTGTGGTGCCGTGCGTTCCAGTGTGGGCGATCACACAGTGGGTGGCAGGTGCGTTTGGGCTGCCATTGAAATAAATGGCACTGCAACGCACCTCCCACAGCTGAATTTGTCAGGCCGAAACTGAAAATGACTATGTTTCCCACCTTTTTATAACTTTTTATTTTTATTTTAAATAATTGTATTGTAAGCACATGGCACTTGAATAGCTTTAGCCAGGAAATGACGGCTGCCAGTTGCAAGATTCCGCAGACAGCAGCTGAATGTAAATACAGCAGTTAGTGGGCTGGTGCAATAGCCAGCCTGCTATTGGCCATTTCAAATTGCAATAGCCAGTAGCATGCTTCTATATTTCTCCACTCCTGTAGCCTTGTGGGATATGTGATGTAGCTATCCCAAGAGGCTGTGGTTGTGGCGGGGGAGGGGATAAAATATAAAAACAAAGTGTAAACAGCCCCCTCCAGCTTTTCACATTGTGGTAGGGAGAGGGAACCAGGGAGAATAAGTCAAGAAAAATAGTGAGGGCCCACTTTAACATTATCCAGAATCTTATGTTTGTGTTATTCAACTGAGTTTTAACAAGGAGGCAAATGTCTATGTTGCCAGTAGCACTCTTTCTGATATTTATTACACTGTTCGGACCAGTGGTAGAGATGTAACAGCTGAAGCTGGAATCTGGCTTTTACAAGAAGAACCTCTTATTTTTCTTCATTTTAATATCACCTGCACCACAGTGCAGCTGACCCTTATGTAACCTTTGCTCCACAAAGATTAGTACAGCTGATGTATTGGTCATGAAACCAGCCAAGATAAGGAATCATCCAAAGTATGTGAACATTCACTTGATAGTGCTCAGCTCTGCGAACTGTCTAACCATATACAGTGAAATAAAATTTAATGATGATTCAAACTCTCATTTGTTCATTGAAGTCCCTAGCTGAAATGAAAATTGCAATATATATTAATTAGATCCACATTCATATACTAGATCTTCAGGTGATGATCATATTAAATATGGTAATTGCCCATTCTAGAATGCATCTGTCTTCTTTTCTTTTATTCAAACAATGGCTACAGATTAAGGTGTTGTATTTGAAAAAAGCGACACATAAAATTGACATGGTGTATTAATTCCCAGAATCTAAATTAAGAAAATGCAGATTTGTCACATGGGAAAATTAGTACACCCCTAATTTACCACCACTTCCAATCCAATCCGTTGTTCCCTATTAGGTGCCAATGATTAGAACCTCCCTAAGAGCCCTTTTATTCAGGCTTTCCGATCAGGTCCACCTCTCAGTTTTTCAGGCGGATCTGATTGGAAGCCCAATAGTCTATGGGCAACCGTATGTAAAAGGACGGGCATCCGTTTACATCCAGTTGCCCCCAGCTCCGGCCAGGTCTGGAAATACAAACAAAACAGAGTTTTGTTTTGCTGGACCTGATCATGCCAGATCCTGGGTAATCTGATGTAAATGGACACAAGTCAACCACCATGGGTCTGGCGAGATCAGTTTTCACTAGATGGAGGATAATACTGGACGGACACGTATGTTACAACGGTGAGATTCTTTTTCAGTCAGCAAGGGATCCATGCACAGATCCCCTCCCAATCGGATGTGTGAAAAGGGCCTTAGGGAACATACACGTTAAACCTCAAATATTCAGGGTGCTATTAATGTGTGTGTTGTCGTCATGCCAGGATCAAAGGAGCTTTCTGAGGCTGGCTGATAGAAGGTTGTAGATGCCTTTTAATCTAGTAAGCAATTATTATTCCACTGTAAGGAAAATAATGAATAAGTGGTGTTTTATTTCAAATGACTACTATTTTGTAAAGGACTAGCTAGCCCAGCAAATTCAGCCCAAGACCTAATCATTTGATGCAGGATCTACAACTAACTATTGTAACAGAAACAGAAAAGGTTTGCACCAATTTAGCCTGCAAGGGACACGTACCAGCAAAAAGCCTCTGCTGTCAAACAAAAGAACATTAGAGTTAGACTATGGTTTGCTATTGAATATACAGGAGAAAAAAATTACAAACACATGAGGGCCCATAATGCATGGTGTCGTCCAAGTAAAAATGTTTCCCGCGTTTGCCACACATCGCCAATTGATTTCAATGGGTTCATGCACACAAGGCAAACGCAGGAAAGTAGCTGAAGTAGCATATTTTGCTACAGGCATCCTGCGTTTTTTCCCCACGCGTTTGCGTTTTTACTTGCAGGAAAACCATGCATTTGCTTAGTTGCGTTTGGGTTGCCATTAACTAGTAATGCGCTTGTATTAAATAGCAATGGCACCACAAGTGCATTGAACTTTTTTATTTTTTTTTATTTTTGTGTGCGTTGTTGTATCACACATGCATCCCTTTACTTTCGGGTGAAGGGGTGTGTGAACTGAACTAATTGAGCTCTTTGCTTTGTCTTTGTTCTGGGCAAGACTGCCAGCACAGGCCCAACGCATCTGGTGTTAATGAGTCTTAAAGGAGAACTATGAGGTGAGTGCTTTCCACTCACCTCATAGTTCTAGCCGACCTGTGACAATGAGACTGTCACAGGTCGGCTCCGTAGATCGGGAAGTGAGCGAACACATACCGGTGTTCGCTTACTTCTCGATCCTGTCACGGCTCTCTGCCGTGACAGGGAAGGGGCTGGATTCACCCCTCCCTGCTCCGATCCACCAGCGCTGACTGGCGGAACGGATGGGTGAGGGGGCGGGTACAGCTGGTTCTGCCTCTAGATAGGCAGAGCCAGCTGTCACTCACGCAGCTGGGCGGATCTCGACATCGATGTCGGAATCCGCTCTGGCTGCAGTGCTAGTTTGTGTCCTCCCGTTACCCTAAGGAGAACTATGGGGAAAAGCCCTGACCCCATAGTTCTCCTTTAATGGTTTAGGGGGCTGCAATAACTGCCTACTTGAATAATGAAATGTTGCCAGCTCACCTTGGCGCTTTGATACAATGTACAATCCTTTATTGAAAGATCAAGGCAGTGCAATTCAGTGCAGTGTTTTTACAGCCTGATGTTCTGCCTGACAATGGGGCCATGTACAGCTCTAAAACTTTACAATGAATTGCACTGTGATGCGATCTTTCAACGAAAGGATTGGACTTGCTTCAAAGATCCACGGTGTGCTGGTAACGTACTTCTTTTATGTATCCTGAAACATATTGCATATATTTTTCAATTGCATCTATGTGTTCTCAATACAGCACAATTACATGTGCTTTGTGCTATTAACTTCATAGTGAAGTGTTCACAGTTCTTCCCAGCTATCATCCATATTTATTTACCAGTAATGCACTGTGTTCAGTTCACAGCTATAATATATGTGGAAATAAAAAATTAGAACTTGATACACTAAATTCCTATTTTCTTCTGTACCCTGAGATATTTTTTACCCCAAACTTTAGTCTGCCCTCAAAAGATTTTTCATCAAGATTGGGAATCACTGACTTTAAACCACGTTGTTCTATAACACACAGATTTTCTTTCTTTTAATCAAGGCCAGACACTTAATTTTGGATATCTTGAGCATGCTGTTTTGTAAAGATTACAAAAGATTTTCTGATCTTCTGGTTGCTGTTAAAGAACCATTGCCTTTGCCAATACATAACGTGCCGAGCTGAGAGAACCATAAAGTTTTTTAAGGTAATCTGGCCAGCACAGAATTGTTTTACCAAAGGGTGGTCTAGGAATCAGTCACAGTCATTGGCAAAGCTTTCACAGTAAAATTGAAACCAGACGTGTTTGTGCTTCATTCTTTGGGTTACTACTGTTCGATGGTGATTTACAAGAGTGTGTGAGCTATGGAAATCTCTCACGCAAGTCCGCATACATCTTAAATGGATGCACATTTTCAAATTGACATTTTTTTTATATCACATCATAACTGAAAGCATAGTTAAGTAGGCTTGAGCCTTATACTTAAGCCACCAGATTATCTAAGTCTCTTGGGCCTCTAATTGTTCTCTAATATGGCAAATCAAGTGATTTCATAAACCATGGTTGGGTAAGTTTTAGCTTTGTTGAAGCTGTGAAGCCATCTTTAGGTTTTTTGTTTTTTTCTTCACTATAACAGAATATCAGCAGAGA